ATGGTGCAGCCCACGCGCGGCCTTTGGGTGCAATTGCACTAAAATGCGCTCGAATCTCGATCTTCCATAGGGCGGCTGACCCCGGATCATAAGTTTAGTATAATTTTCCTTCCCGTGTCAGTCCACAATTTGCAAATCGCAGTAATAATTAAGGGTCACAGCTCGTCCGCTTTCAGCATCTGAGCTGGCACGTTTGTGCCATTACGACAATCGTTGGTCTTGAATTTGGTGTAGCCGATTTTGGTAGATAATCAGCAGAATTTTGCTTTCGCTGAAGGAAAAAGATCATGGCGTCCACATAGCTTCGTACTCAGGTTGTAACAATTCCCTATGTTTCTCCAAAGATTTTCTTACTTTTATTCATGATTCTCTTTTAGCTAAGATACAGCTCTACTACGTCAGAACACCATCTAAGAATCCGAATACTGGTACGATAAAATTTTCCAGCAGGGATTACGAGATTGGAGAGCTACTGGAATCACATTTGTGATCAGCAAACTGGAAAAAACCCCTCAACAAATTTTTAAGCAATTTTGAAATTTTGACGCATCTCACATTTCGAAAATTTTAACTGTATGAAACTGACATTTTTTGGTGGCATACCATTAACCTCAGGGACACACATTGCACCTTTTTGGCATAGAACCAAAACATGACAGAAAACCTGACAATGCCTGAGAACATCAAGGCTGGATCAGGGTCAGAATGTGCTAAGAGAGGGCTACGAGGCTCAAAATGGAGCTAATGGAAAGAAAAAAGATGGTTGTCATCACGAAAATAAGGCAAATCTGAATATGAAAGTGCCGAAATACAAATTCCCAATTTTACGCAAAACAAATCCATAAAAAATGTGACGACATTCGACGAGTAAAAACTTGTTATAGATTACAGATGATTTTTGCAGGAAGATGTCGAAATTTGTAACGGGAAGACCATCCTGAATGGAATATGTTTCGAGGAATAGAGTCATATATGAATATATATCAATTATACAGATTGAATATTCAATTTAAAAAAAAATATGTGCAGGTCCGTACGCATTGATCGTTTGATAGACTAGCTGACCTTCTAGTCTTTTATCATTAACGTTACACTAACCTTCTAGTCTTTTATCATTAACGTTACATCCTCAGGGCATGCTGTTCCCACTAGAAAAAGGGGTCATTCGTTTAACGTTCAGAGAGAAACAGTGAAAAGCAGTTTTACATCGTCCTAAGGTGGCAAGCTTTATTTTTTTTTGTGGAGAATTCTTAAGCTAAAAGTCGATTCACCAAAGTAAAATTTCGGCTCTGTAAGAAAAGACAGAGCAATAGCATAATTGAAAAGAGCGCCTCAGAAAACCCCTAAATCTCTTTTTCAATCGAAATTGAGCAGATAGTTGCTGAACATCAAATTTGCGATTCCATTGAATTCCCGGTTTCATGAATGATGGATACATCGCGAAAGAGTTGATGGATGGGGGCGGGGCTTAGAATACACACAGACTAGGCTCTGTACACACTGCTAATTGTGACTCTGACTGCTCATGATACCTAAGGTACGCTGCGGCAAGTCCTTTGGGTAGGTAAGTTCCCGCACCCGCTTCCTGCGTTTGAGCTGGCACGTTTGTGCCATTACGACAGTCGTTAGTTTTAAATTTGGTATAGCTGATTTTGGTAGATAATCTTCAGAATTTTGCTTTCGCAGTAGGAGAAAGATCATGGCGTCCACGTAGCTTCGCACTCAGTTTGTAACGATTCCCTATGTTAAGGGAGGGGAAGGGGGGGGGGTTAAGGGTCCGTGCTGCATGCGCGCTGCCCTTGGGATAAATTACGAAAAACGAGATCGATATGTCTTTCAAGAGTGCCAGGCTCTTTATTACCTACTGGTTCTTTGTCTTTCTCATCCGCTCATCCAGCGGCGCAACATACGCAAAGCGAGAATTGCTTGCGACCGGTCTCAAAATTTATATACTACAAACGAAAGTAGAAATAAGGGATTTACAATAATGAACATTACACACCGCTGAGAGTTATAGCATGCCCTGAATGGGTGTCACCGCACATTATGCAAGCTGAGGTAGAATTAACCTTGAGATACTTTGATGAATACGAAACAGCCTTAAGGTAGAGTGTACCCTGAGGTACATTTTACCTCAAGGTTCATTTTACCTCGGGTAGCAATGATGAATACGGCCACAGGAAGTTCAATATGCCAACACCCTATACACCATTCGAAAGCTGAGATCATGGAGGATCGACTTGTACCGTCGCCCTTTTTCTAACTCTTCTTAGCAGTATGAGGGATTTATTATCTGATCGACATATTTAGTGATTTGCTTTAGCTGACAAAAAATGCCTTTAAATCAGTTTCATTTCTTAAAAAAGTAATCTTACTAACGTAATCATTTACCATTCACGGTAATCACTGCATACCACAATGAGCTGTTTTTGGGTATAGACTTACCCTATTTTCAGGTGTATAAGCCGCACCCTTTTTGCTTTAAACGCGAGAGGCCCAGGCGTACCGCTGCGCATGTGCCTCGCGAGGCAGTCGCTTTCTCGCACATTGCTCTCACTTTACGCGCCCCATCGTAACAGGCAGTCTTTTGACGTGTGCGCCTTCAGAGTGAAAAGGGTGCTGCTTATACACCTGAAAATAGGGTACCATAGATACAGACTTACTTATTTGGTTTTTTCTTGCTTCTCTTACAAACAAAGGCGTCTATCTGTTTATCTATCTCAAGAGTGTAACAAGCCTTAGAAGACCTCGAGGCTCGAAAATACATATGTTCAAGTTTTTTGAAAAAACGCGGCAGAAGGAGGCAGCAAACAAGCATCAACCATTGTGGTTCTTGAGATGAAATTCAATTTTTGATTCTTATATTCGTTTTTGGGATGTTTGAATCTCCAATAGCTTTTTGATCATAATTCACTCTCAATTCATTTACCTTCCCCAATTAGCCTCGAATGAAGGGGGTCATCCAGGTTCTTGCTCAAGCATGAGAGGGGGGGGGTAACATCAATTGCTCCCCCCATCGCGACTATGACCGGACCCTTTTCTTTGAAGTGTTCCAAGCAGAGGTGCGATAGTCGGACCCGATTCTCCGCCTACCTTCACTTTTGAGCTGGTACAGGGTGACCACCTTCACTTTTGGGTTTGAAAATTTTTTTTGCTAAAGCTCAAAAGAAGGAAAATAAGCAAAAGGAATGTAAAAAAAAAGTGTTAAGAGCATATATCTATGTAGTAGGTCGATCCAGGCAGTAACCGCCGAGAACCAGAATTTCGAATGATAAAATAATGAAAAATCGTGAAAAATCATTCCACTGTTACAAATCTGCTGGCTGAAGACCTCCGCAGTTGCGACTTCATAGGTTTTGAAGGGTGAGTGTTGTTCTACCAGATAGTGAAAGATTCAGTTTGATTTGAGGAGTGGCCGCCGAGAACGAGAATTTTGAAAAACCTTGAAAATCTTCTCAATTCTAGGTTGCTTAATGACAACTGACATTCAAACACTTATAAATCCGGACTTTGAAGGTGTGATGTTGCGACTTCATAGGTTTTGTAGGGTAAGGTTTGCCCTAGACTTTGAAGGTGTGATGTTGCGACTTCATAGGTTTTGTAGGGTGAGGTTTGCCCTATCAGAATACGTCTTAGCTGTACCGATCCATTGAAACATCGCCGAGATACAGGCTCTTAAGAAAGCAGGTAAAAAACCGTTTTTCAGCTCATTCTTCAGAAATGCATAAATCATGTTGCGACTTTATAGGGTAGATTCTCCTCTTCAAGAGCTTTCAAAAAATGTATAATATGTGGGGGATTCACGTCTACCACGGCATATGCCCGGGGGTGGAGTACCTCTCTTCACTAATTCTCCACTGGCGGCCTTCCGCCAATACATTGCAATGGGCGGGGTGGAGAATTAGTGAAGAGGAGTACTCCACCCCGGGTCAGAGCCGCAAGAAACATTTAATCCCCCACATATTATATATCATCTGAAAGCTATTGAAGAGGAGAATCTAACCTATAAAGTCGCAACATGATTTATGCATTTCTGAAGAAGTTATGAGCTGAAAAACGGTTTTTTACCTGCTTTTTAAGAGCCTGTATCTCGGCGATGTTCCAATGGATCGGTACAGCTAAGACATATTCTGATAGGGCAAACCTCACCCTACAAAACCTATGAAGTCGCAACATCACACCTTCAAAGTCCGGATTTATAAGAGTTTAAATGTCAGTTGTCATTAAGCAACCTAGAATTGAGAAGATTTTCAAGGTTTTTCAAAATTCTCGTTCTCGGCGGCCACTCCTCAAATCAAACTGAATCTTTCACTATCTGGTAGAACAACACTCACCCTTCAAAACCTATGAAGTCGCAACTGCGGAGGTCTTCAGCCAGCAGATTTGTAACAGTGGAATGATTTTTCACGATTTTTCATTATTTTATCATTCGAAATTCTGGTTCTCGGCGGTTACTGCCTGGATCGACTTACTTTCTTCGCAGTACGTCATAACAAAATGCACTTGATGAAACACACAAAGTCTAGCTGGGTTTTACTTACGAATAGACTTTTTGACTAATACATTTACTTTTTCTTTATTTTTATCCCGCTGTAGTCATCGTATTTGTGGCCCTAAAGAGGGCCTTAGGTCAGTTGTTGACCCTAGGGGGCCGTTAGATGAGAGTTCTTCAGTTATCCGAAGTCCCCTCTCTCCCTCCCCCCCCCCGGTCGACGTTTTTGAGAGGTGAGTGTCCGGCACTACCACCTTCACTTTTGGCCGGTGGTAACTGGAACCACCTTCACTTTTGGGGGGCCGGGCTCCACTTATCGCACCTCTGGTTTCAAGAGATACGTGAATTTCAGGGAGGCTTTCTTTTTTGCCGCATCTCAGGGAATTTATATGTTCTGGTTCATTTTGCCATTTTTGCAAAATCATTTCGTAAGGACTAAAACTACAAAAAGAGGCATAAATTGATATAACGCATACTTTCCTATTAGAAGAGCGTTAGACTAGCTCACTTACCTTCGCTGTCTTTGATCTTTTGCACTTTTTTCAGCTACCTTGTCTTCCCTAAAGGTTGTAAACGTTTCTTCCAAAAATGTGATCAAAAACGTATACATACCATTGTGTACTTTCCTGGTAATCCATGGTACCCTGCACATCGTAACGCTCAAAAACTCCCTGAATAAAGTCCTTTTTGAATATGTATCAATCAATGCTACTGAGATCTGTTCTCTACGTTCGACCGTAAAGCATTTTGCGCATAGTATAGCTTCTGACAAACTTTCTGATGATGTTGTTGATTTGAACGTGCATTTTACCTACTTTTTGATGATCACCTTGCTGTCTATGCTGATGAATGAGCAATAGCGTTTTGAAGCGATTATATCTCTCATGCGCAGATTGTTAAAGACATTTTGATTTCGAAATTCTTATATATAAAGCTGAATGTCTGTTTATATGTTTGTCTGTCTGTCTGTCTGTCTGTTTGTATGTCTGTCTGTACTTATGTCCCGAATAGAAAATAAAATGGAATAATGGGATAGAAAATTCCATTTCTGAACCGATCCGGACCAAACTTTGCACATATACGCTTTGGGGCCGGGCGGGTGTCATAGGCTACTTTTCGTCGCCGATCGGTATTGATTTTATCGATTTTTATCGATTTTTTGCAAAGTTTGAGCCACAGGGCTGGGGGGGGGGATTAATTAAGCATGCTGATTACGAACACAGCATTAGTTTTTGGAATCATCCGCCTTTTATCGATTTTATCAATTTTTTTTTGCAAAATTTGAGTTGCGGAGCTGGGAGTTGGCACAGGGGGGGGGGGGGGAGGTAATCGAGCATGCCAAATACAATACTAGTTTTTAAAAATAACTATTACTTTTATCGATTTTATCGAGTTGTTGTAAAGCTTGGGCTACAGGGTTGGGAGTTGGCATAGGGAAGTAAGTGGGCATGCTGATTACTAAAACATCAGGAATATGACACGTAGACGTGGGCACAGGGAAAGGTTGTACAGGGATAGGGATGGGAGCTTTATCATAGCCTTTTGACAGGGCCGGGCGGAGCCGGGTATGACAGCTAGTCAAAAAATATGCAGAAAGGAGGAGCCTATCGTTATGAATAGAGAGTTCGTGTCTCATCAATTCCTATAAAATTCAAATATAAAGCGGGTCATTAAGGCATGTACGAGGAAGCTGCATCTTGTAATCCGTTGAAGGCTTTCGTTCTGTATTATGAAGCTTAAAATTGTGCTTGTGAAATCAATGCTCTTTTCAAGCATGAGTTCTTATCAAATGATTGGTTCTTTGTTGACGTCTAAACGGATGGATTTTATGATTTTGACTTCCAGGCTCCGACAAAATATGAAGAAAACTAGCCAAAAGAGATGTTGAAAAAAAAGAAGAAGAAAGATAAAGATTATAGAAAAAGATCTACGAGTAAGAATAGTCTCTCGTTTGCAATTCTCAAGTTAATTTGAAGATGATTAGTGTTTCAGAAGTTGTCTAATAATTCGCAAAGTCTTTCCGCAACCCAAAGATTAAAAATCGAAGTTGATCATGTCTTTATAAGACCTTTCTAATCATCTGAAACTTCACATACAGAGGGAATGAAGATTAGATGGTGGTATGAAGCATAAGGATGATACTCGTTGTATGCAGTTCGTAGATCTTATAGTGACTAGGTGCCTACAGTGGCTACAGTTGCTGTCAATATTTGTACCGAAGGTGCCTGCACAATAAGCTCTTTATTCATACGGCCCCTCAAGAGTGTAGAGGAGAAATAATTTTGGAAGCCGGGTGAAATGATCATTTTAAAATTGATTGAAAGCTTAAGTGAGGAAAAATGCCAGGGTCTGACATTTCGTAGTATGGTATTTATCATTAGTTTTCTCTTCTTCCACTAAGAAGATCACGAATCTCCTCCTGAAAGGTCACCATATGCACCGGAAATCGACTGATTTTACCTTGTTGCATTGCATGATGAACTCCTCTGCACCGAACAGTCTTCATCGATTCGCCCGTAAAGACGTGCAGTCTTGTGGTGGTGTACAAGTGCTGTCACACACATGTAAGCAACTCTCTTTAGATGCTGTCCTGTGATATACTGACTCCGATGACATCTCTCGTCTTCCTGAGCGAGTATAAGGGTGTGCGTGCATAGGTCTTAGAGCAAGCTGAGTAACCATTTTTTGATTGCTATCTTAAATGCCTAATTATTGCGAAACAAGGCTTCAACGCGACGTCAACCAAAACACTGCATCCAGCCAGTACTCTTAGGAGAATGTTAATTATGTCGTCACATGTAACCTCCCCCATCCCTCTGTGTTTGCCGCCGGGATCTCTAAACAGCGTAGAGCGTTTTTTCCAGGATTTTTCGGAGAGGAAAGTTTGATAGAAAAAGTTGTTTGAAAAAAGGCCCAGAGATACATAGATTGATTTTGCACTAATCTAGTAAAGAAGCAAGAGGACTTTGTGCTGCAATGTATGGGCTCTTGAAGGTAGCGTTCGGGTGAAAGTCCATAGAAGATTTTGTCGCTCACCCGGATCCCTGCTGTTCCGTGAATGAGGCTTGAAAAGCACGAATATGTCGAAATGAGGTATTCGTTCCCACCCTTGAATTGAAATTGGAGAGCTTGGCGAGAGCTCTGGGGCTAAAACGCAGATCCGTTGTGACTCTATGATCACAACAGTGGGTGGTGCGCATTATGACTTGCAACTTGACGATGTATGGGCGATGGAAGCCCCCTCCCCCTCCACAAAGAGGCGTCTACGTGGAAGCTCTTGAAACGGGCCTGATTGAGACATTCTAAATCTGACTGGGGATTCTCGATGTGTAAAATGCTTCCTTGTAACCAAAAGTCCAGTCACTATGTTCCTTAATTTTCATTGTCTCAGTTATCACAAAAAGTGAGGGGCTTTGCATCGTTTAAGACAATTCAATCAACAGAAAAATATGTGTTTTTTACATTACTAATGAGGAAATGCTTTATGTTATAACAAAACATGCGTCGAGCGAAAAAAACTTACATGTGCGTCGGACAGGTAAGACAAATCGGTTTGAGTGGCAACACTGCGCTTTTGCAAAGCTTTGCCTAAATAACGCCCATGTTATGTCCCTATTTTCAGGTGTATAAGCCGCATCCTTTCTGCTTTAGACGCGAGCAGACCCAGGCGTGCCGCTGCACATGTGTGTCGCAAAGCGGTCGCTTTCTCGCACATAACTCCCACATATATGCTCCCCATAGTAACAGTCAGTCTTTTGGCGTGTTCGCCTTCAGAGCAAACAGGGTGCGGTTTATACACCTGAAAATAGGGTAATTGCATTTAGTTGTTGGTAGCTAAATGTATTTCAGATGCTTAAAATTTTATCTACAGTCATACTTTTGCTCTCAGATTCGCCTGCCATCTTTGCTGTTTCCAGTGGGTCGCTCGGTATTTCAACATCGTCCGCGGCATCTTCATCCTAAACAAAGCTAGAGATGTTTAGGGTGATCAGTCTGAACAATAACTATGCAAGTTTCTCATCAACTTTCGAGTTAATCCGATTGACAGTGATGTAACAATGATGAGAATTATAAGCTAAGAAATTTTAAGAATTGGCCGTATCTTACCTTTGTTACTGATGCTGTCAATGTTACCGCTGTCACCAGTGTCACCACTATCACAGTTATCGCTAATGTTACCTTGCATGTCTTTTACTACAATGGTCCTTGTACTTGTTATGTGTCTTCCGCTTTGTTTGTACGATTAGATCGGCCTTGGTCTGATCTTAGCGTCACTGGTGCCAGAACTACGTTCCTTTTTTTACTGCCCCCCTGATGTTTGATCAGCAGCAGACGAAATCGCAGGCGAATAATTGATACAGCAGGATGGATCATTCATTCAAAGCGAAATACCGGTCACGAGGAAGACGACTACAGAGACTAAGCTAATGAGGGTCACACTGGTAGCACTGGTAACAACGATAACTTTAGCAATGCGTGGCTGGACCCCTAGCTCTTCATACCCTTCTTATAGTTTACCGCTGTGCCCTACCCTCACTTAGATCTCTTTCAATTTTCAATTACTCATTTATACAAGTAGACTTTAATCTTTCAAATTCGTTGATTGCGCTGCTTGACTGAGAGTTACAAGCTCTATTAATTTTCTACATACTAGCATTCCATCAAATTTTGAGTCCCTGTACTCGCCGTCCGGATCATATATGTCGTCCAATTGCGATAGATCCTCTGCCATCGGTTTTTCTGCTTCTTTTGGTTGGTGGGCACCAGTGTAGCTAAATGAAGGAGAAATGCCTGTTTTATTTGGGATTTTTGAATATTTATCCTATCAAAATAATTATGACCTTCTGTCTTGTTTTCCCTTGTTATCGCTTTAACGCATATCAGACAAATCCTTGTGAACAAACCTTTAGTCATCGAATGCACGTTCGCCCAAATTAAAGCTTTTAACACGTTGACAATAGCGTGCATTTTGAGCTGTCTGCTTGTGGGATAGTGCGTTCTACAGTAAGTTGAGTATTTTTAGCTGAAATCAAGCAGGCCGTCATCTGCAGTGTTTCTACAGTGATTTTGGGAAGCAGCCAAGAAACGCGGATGTAATTCTTAGAAATAAAGCATAACAGAACTTCTAAAGCCATAGTAATTACATGACCCACCATGTGGGTCACATTGTCGTCAATGTATTAATCATTGAGAAGCACAAACTCGACTAAATAAAGTTTTTGAGAAAGCATATTAAGATGAGTAATCGTCCTAATGTAACAGGGGCGGTATGCATCAATCTCCCGTGTTGAAAGCGGGCGATCACTTCCAATAAAAAAGAATGCCCGGCCGGCTTGGCCGCAGCTTCATACATTACGGGTCGGGCGGCCAACCCGGCCGGGCAATCATTTTACTATTGAAAATGATCGCCCGCTTTTAAAACGGGAGATTGATGCATACCGCCTCAGATTTCAAGGTTTGCATAATATCAGTATGGGTCACTCTAGAATAAATGCAGAACAAGAAAGCGACTTTCGACGTTCAATCTTAAGCCTCTATACCGCTGAGAGCTTTGCGGCCTGTAGCCGCTTTCCTCCAGTTGCCGCTTTTGCAGCAGAAGAATCAAAAGCCTTTTTTTTAGAATGCAAAAGTATAGTATTCATTTACTTTGACAGCAACTAATCTATGAGCTCCTATTAGTGTGCTAGTTTGTTTGATTCTCGAGTTATAGTGAGTTGAGATCCGAGCTGTGTTTTCCATCGGATCACTATAACTCGAGGATCAAACAAACCACTGTAAAAATGGCTGTATGAAGGGAAGACGAAGCATTTAAGAACATTGCGCATCATCTTCTACCTCTGCTAAGCTTATCAAATAGGGACGTCGTTTTGCTTTCTCACACTCGTTTTTTATTCTGGCTCACCATCGGTTCTCAAATGCGTGTAGAGGCGGAGACGTGGCAGCTCCTTGCGTCCTTTTTGTACGAAGAGTTCAAAAAGCAGCGTTGTAATGTTGGGTTGAGTCCACGTTATCAGAATCTTGCAAATATTAGGTTGATGTAAAAATAATGAGCGTTTTTCAAAATTTCAACTTGCTATAAATTTCTATACAATCTATATTTTGAAATGAGGTAAAGGCCAGCGGATGTAGCGAACCTTTCGCAATACAACGCACATTAAACTGTACTCAAATCCCACATGGGCAGAAAAATATGAATTGAAAAACAAAGTAGGTTTTTTTTCTGCAGTCTCGTTTTTGACAAAACATAACTCCCTTCACAGTTTGTTAGTATAATTTATAGGTAGCATATCTTGTAACCGCAAGTTAGTAGTACAAACAAACATGAAAAGAGCGTGTAGAAAAAAGAATGGCGGAAATAAAAAAATTAAAATGTAAAAATATCAACTTTTTCAGAGTTTCTTCAGTAGGCCTCAAAATCCCAAATCGTGAAATTTTTTGATTTTCTGCGTGCTAAACTGCTGAATGCCTTTGCTAAAACTGTCAACAGAATGCTCTTCCTTCACGCTTACAGAAATGAGCAAATTAGGATTGCATTCTGCAAAAGAAAGATGTGGGCTATAGAATGATTGCAACAATTACACATGTTAAGGCGTCGATAGCTTAGCTTAGACAACTTTAAAAATTATGGTTAACTATGCATAATGTAGACAATTTCTGTTACATATAATGGCTAATTTCTTGGAAACGCGCCTTAATTTGCGTTTGAATTCTGGCCAGAAAAGTGAATGCAACGAAAATCTAATTTAGGGTGCTGTCATTTGAGGCCCTATGAATTCTTAACAGATTAGGCTGAATGTCCCTTTCAAGCAGCTTTTTATAGAGCATGGAAAGAGCTTTTAAACAATGTGCTCAACTTGTTTCAAAGGAAGAAGTTTGATTGAGAAAAGTTGTCCAGAATAATGTCTTTGAGAAACGCTCTTTGATTTTGCATCAACCTAATATACGGAATCTATGAGCATTGTTTTTTTAGGTTATGCGCGTGCTTTCTGTTCGTAGTTACGTCTTCCATCACTATCATCTTCACTATGTACAAAAGCGCTCACTGACCGCATCATACAGAGGAAACATAAAAATGGTTTGATTCTTGGTGTACTGTAATACTTTTACTTTGACGCTGTTCTGCCAATCTATTCTCATTATTCGGGCTCAGGTGGCACATTGACGACCGCTTGACACACATAATGTGTCAAGGCTTGACACATGACTCTCATTGAAATGGCTACTAAAATGTGTCAAACCCAACTTTGCGAGTTTTCTTTCATGCTGGATATAGATACAACCTCTACTGTTTTTGCCAGCATTCCAGCGCTACTGTAGGTGTACTGTAGATAGAATTGTGCATGATTTTATTTCAAAAATGTTGACTGGTCGAGAAATGCTTCGGTCGTCAATGTGTTAATAGAGCAAAGCTAACTATAAAAGATGGTCTGAACCAAACATTCGATAGAGCCATGTACTCTGGTCACCTTCACTTTGAGCATGCTAGAACAGAACTTTCACGTGAAAAAAAGGATAGAAGTCATTTGGGGCGAAGCCCCGGATACTATGACATAACTAGCTTGCTTACCCGGCTCCGCCCGCCCCTGTGAAAACACGGTAATAAAGGTCCCATCCCTATCCCTGTACAGCCTTTCCCTGTGCACACTTCTACACTACATTTCCCGTCCCCTGTTGCTTTCGAAATCAGCATGCCCACTTACCCCTCCTGTGCCAACTCCCAGCCCTGTAGCTTAAACTTTGCAAAAAATCGATAAAATCGATAAAAGTAATACGATTTTAAAAACTAATATTGTATTCGTAATCGCATGCTCGATTACCCCCCTGTGCAAACTCCCAGCCCCGCAGGTCAAACTTTACAAAAAAATCGACAAAATCGGTAAAAGTAATCGATAATCCTGAAAACTAATATTGTGTAATAAAGCGAACTTAAATCATGGAGAACTTATCTGTAGACGGACTTATCTAATGGGAGGACTTATCTGTTAGATTTTAGGGTATATGAGTTTTTCTTTCTTGAAACGATGATTTTCTTACACAAAGAAATCTATTAGGTTGTTCGGAAATTAATGTCCGTTTTAAATTTCAACCGCAATAAGTCATACACTTTTCATTCTTGAATAAGTTTCAAAGTACCATTCGATAGAGCAAAGCAAGCTCTACAAGATGGCTATCCTGCTTTAGCAAAGCTTTGATCCACCTCAAATTTCGAGCCAAAAACTAAAATGATTCAACTGCCCGAAAAATCGAGAAAAATCATAACTCAGTTCATAAGAGTCTTACAAAAATTCTAACTTGCCCACGTAAACACTATCCACATAAGACATCTATGTACGCCATTGCCGTGTTTTTTCCTTTGTTAGAAATCAAGAAAACAAAAATTTTCATGCTTTTGCCAAAGTGATGCTGTGCCGTCCCCGCATAGGTAGATGTATACTACAAATCTGTAGAAGTACAAATGTGGACTTTCAGCTCTTTACAAGCTTTAGTTCTCGAAAATTTTGAATTTTAGCTTGGACCACCTGACTAATGAGAGCTATCTTTGATATTTCTCGGGAACCAAAACATGTAGAGGGCTGAAAATTCACCTTTGTACTTCTACAGATTCATAGCATACATCTACTTATGTGGGGACGGCACAGCATCACTTTGGCAAAAGCATGAAAATTTTCGTTTTCTTGATTTCTAACAAAGCAAAAAACACGGAAATGGCGTACATAGATGTCTTATGTGGATAGTGTTTACGTGGGCAAGTTAGAATTTTTGTAACACTCTTATGAACTGAGTTATGAATTTTCTCGATTTTTCGGGCAGTTGAATCATTTTAGTTTTTGGCGCGAAACTCGATGTGGATTAGAGCTGTTGCTAAAGCAAGATAGCCATCTTGTAGAGCTTGCTTTGCTCCATCGAATGGTGCTTTAAAACTTATTCAAGAATGAAAACTGTATGACTTATTGCGGTTGAAATTTAAGACGGACATTAATTTCCGGACAACCTAATAGTAATGCCTTAGAACCATAAAAAACACCATCTTTTCTGACAATTCCTTCTAAATCTCGTTTGCACCGATTTCGCCCCTATCTTGCTCATATCAAGCAGCTGTTCTTTCAGGTCAAAGTCTCTCACGCAATGTATCAGTCCTCTTACAGGCGGCCACTTACCAGTGCGTTTCTGCTATTGCTTGTGCAAACCGCAATGATTTACCGGATATCGAAAGGTTAGCGCGGTGGCACTTTAACGCACTTAGGTTCGAAACGCGCGCGATATAGCGATATTGCGGCTGTAAGCGTCATCAAAATTCGATGTGCGAAATGACTGCGTACTAAGGTTTCATAAGATTATCAGAACCTACAATCACTCCGCGAGCTGCCGCCGGAGTTGACAAGTTTCCGCGATGTGTGCCAACTTGCAGACATCTATGATGCCACCAGATAGGGTAGATTACTACCGGCCATTATGTCAGACCAGCCATTATGCTGGTCCGGCCATTATGCTTGGCGGAGCTTGTCAAATTTCACTTCCTTTATTTGTGGCTATGAAAATACAGCAACTGCATATACACTTGCTCACTGTGGAAAGTACATACGTGAGCAAACTATACATCATATGATTTTTGGATGGTAATATGAACTTTAAGTGGTCGAGAATTTAGACTTTAGTTTCGAACCTCATGCTAATCAAATCATCCAAGCGTTTTGAAGTCATCTCGCTAGATCTGATCTGCTTTGTTATAGTTCAAATGTTAGAAAATGGAAATCAGCAAGATTTCTTGAGA